ACACTCCACGATCGATCAACGCGGTTGTTGTATATATGACACGAGTGGTTATATTTACTACTCCACGATCAACACGGTGTTGTATAGGCTGCACCAGGTCATGTTGACACGAGTGGTTATATGTACTACTCCACGATCAACACGGTGTTGTTTAGGCTGCACCAGGTCATGTTGACACGAGTGGTTATATGTACTACTCCACGATCAATCAACGGTGTTGTTTAGGCTGCACCAGGTCATGTTGACACAGTAGGCTGCACCAGGTCATGTTGTTTAGGCGCACCAGGTCATGTTGACACGAGTGGTTATATGTACTACTCCACGATCAACACGGTGTTGTTTAGGCTGCACCAGGTCATGTTGACACGGTGGTTATATGTACTACTCCACGCGATCAACACGGTGTTGTTTAGGCTGCACCAGGTCATGTTGACGCGGTGGTTATATGTACTACTCCACGATCAACGCGGTGTTGTTTAGGCTGCACCAGGTCATGTTGACCGCGGTGGTTATATGTACTACTCCACGATCAACACGGTGTTGTTTAGGCTGCACCAGGTCATGTTGACACGAGTGGTTATATGTACTACTCCACGATCAACACGGTGTTGTTTAGGCTGCACCAGGTCATGTTGACACGAGTGGTTATATGTACTACTCCACGATCAACACGGTGTTGTTGTTAGGCTGCACCAGGTCATGTTGACACGAGTGGTTATATGTACTACTCCACGATCAACACGGTGTTGTTTAGGCTGCACCAGGTCATGTTGACACGAGTGGTTATATGTACTACTCCACGATCAACACGGTGTTGTTTAGGCTGCACCAGGTCATGTTGACACGAGTGGTTATATGTACTACTCCACGATCAACACGGTGTTGTTTAGGCTGCACCAGGTCATGTTGACACGAGTGGTTATATGTACTACTCCACGATCAACACGGTGTTGTTTAGGCTGCACCAGGTCATGTTGACACGAGTGGTTATATGTACTACTCCACGATCAACACGGTGTTGTTTAGGCTGCACCAGGTCATGTTGACACGAGTGGTTATATGTACTACTCCACGATCAACACGGTGTTGTTTAGGCTGCACCAGGTCATGTTGACACGAGTGGTTATATGTACTACTCCACGATCAACACGGTGTTGTTTAGGCTGCACCAGGTCATGTTGACACGAGTGGTTATATGTACTACTCCACGATCAACACGGTGTTGTTTAGGCTGCACCAGGTCATGTTGACACGAGTGGTTATATGTACTACTCCACGATCAACACGGTGTTGTTTAGGCTGCACCAGGTCATGTTGACACGAGTGGTTATATGTACTACTCCACGATCAACACGGTGTTGTTTAGGCTGCACCAGGTCATGTTGACACGAGTGGTTATATGTACTACTCCACGATCAACACGGTGTTGTTTAGGCTGCACCAGGTCATGTTGACACGATCAACACGGTGTTGTTTAGGCTGCACCAGGTCATGTTGACACGAAAGTGGTTATATGTACTACTCCACGATCAACACGGTGTTGTATAGGCTGCACCAGGTCATGTTGACACGAGTGGTTATATGTACTACTCCACGATCAACACGGTGTTGTATAGGCTGCACCAGGTCATGTTGACACGAGTGGTTATATGTACTACTCCACGATCAACACGGTGTTGTTTAGGCTGCACCAGGTCATGTTGACACGAGTGGTTATATGTACTACTCCAACAATGTTAAAGAACATCCAAACTTCGAGGGTTGTGTGATTCAGTGTGTAAAATAATAACAGGTTAACTATAGTCGCATGAAAAAAGGCGAGTGACCTTAAACTTTCTTTTGCACTACTTCGTGGTAAGCTTGTTTGTGTGACTGCCTGGGCCCCGTTCCTCAAAGCGACCGTAGCTCTAAGATGATCGTATCTCTTATACTTTAACATAGACTTTGGACAGTCGGAGCGCGCTACGATCGCTTTGAGGAACGGGGCCCTGTTTCTGTGTCCCCTGTTGACCACATCCCCGCCCACCCCTACACCGACGCATCTGGTCGTCGGCACTGACCATTGCGACTACATATAAGTTAATAGACATATTAATTAGGTACTTTCAATTTTGTGAAACGTTTTGACAATATCTGAGTTACATATATACAGATGGACCCGTGAAGATCCGGGTTAGAATTAATCTTCAGTAACCCATGCTTGTCGTAAGAAGCGAATAACGGGATCGGGTGGGCACGCTTGTGGACTCGAATGACACATGTCATCGGTTCCCAATTGCGTAGATCGATGCTCATGGTGTTAATCACTGGATTGTCAGGACCAGACTCGATTATCTATAGCTGCCATATATGAGGAATATTGCTGAGTGCGGCGTTAAACAACCAACCAACTACATACAGATGATCGGGTATGCCAGAAGACAGTGTAGACATGAACACCACTACAGTAACACTGACGACTAAACTAGCAACTACATACAGATGATCGGGTATGCCAGAAGACAGTGTAGACATGAACACCACTACAGTAACACTGACGACTAAACTAGCAACTACATACAGATGATCGGGTATGCCAGAAGACAGTGTAGACATGAACACCACTACAGTAACACTGACGACTAAACTAGCAACTACATACAGATGATCGGGTATGCCAGAAGACAGTGTAGACATGAACACCACTACAGTAACACTGACGACTAAACTAGCAACTACATACAGATGATCGGATCGGGTATGCCAGAAGACAGTGTAGACATGAACACCACTACAGTAACACTGACGACTAAACTAGCAACTACATACAGATGATCGGGTATGCCAGAAGACAGTGTAGACATGAACACCACTACAGTAACACTGACGACTAAACTAGCAACTACATACAGATGATCGGGTATGCCAGAAGACAGTGTAGACATGAACACCACTACAGTAACACTGACGACTAAACTAGCAACTACATACAGATGATCGGGTATGCCAGAAGACAGTGTAGACATGAACACCACTACAGTAACACTGACGACTAAACTAGCAACTACATACAGATGATCGGGTATGCCAGAAGACAGTGTAGACATGAACACCACTACAGTAACACTGACGACTAAACTAGCAACTACATACAGATGATCGGGTATGCCAGAAGACAGTGTAGACATGAACACCACTACAGTAACACTGACGACTAAACTAGCAACTACATACAGATGATCGGGTATGCCAGAAGACAGTGTAGACATGAACACCACTACAGTAACACTGACGACTAAACTAGCAACTACATACAGATGATCGGGTATGCCAGAAGACAGTGTAGACATGAACACCACTACAGTAACACTGACGACTAAACTAGCAACTACATACAGATGATCGGGTATGCCAGAAGACAGTGTAGACATGAACACCACTACAGTAACACTGACGACTAAACTAGCAACTACATACAGATGATCGGGTATGCCAGAAGACAGTGTAGACATGAACACCACTACAGTAACACTGACGACTAAACTAGCAACTACATACAGATGATCGGGGTATGCCAGAAGACAGTGTAGACATGAACACCACTACAGTAACACTGACGACTAAACTAGCAACTACATACAGATGATCGGGTATGCCAGAAGACACACAGTGTAGACATGAACACCACTACAGTAACACTGACGACTAAACTAGCAACTACATACAGATGATCGGGTATGCCAGAAGACAGAAGTGTGTAGACATGAACACCACTACAGTAACACTGACGACTAAACTAGCAACTACATACAGATGATCGGGTATGCCAGAAGACACAGTGTAGACATGAACACCACTACAGTAACACTGACTACTAAACTAGCAACTACATACAGATGATCGGGTATGCCAGAAGACAGTGTAGACATGAACACCACTACAGTAACACTGACGACTAAACTAGCAACTACATACAGATGATCGGGTATGCCAGAAGACAGTGTAGACATGAACACCACTACAGTAACACTGACGACTAAACTAGCAACTACATACAGATGATCGGGTATGCCAGAAGACACAGTGTAGACATGAACACCACTACAGTAACACTGACGACTAAACTAGCAACTACATACAGATGATCGGGTATGCCAGAAGACAGTGTAGACATGAACACCACTACAGTAACACTGATGATCGGGTACTAAACTAGCAACTACATACAGATGATCGGTATGCCAGAAGACACAGTGTAGACATGAACACCACTACAGTAACACTGACTCGACTAAACTAGCAACTACATACAGATGATCGGTATGCCAGAAGACAGTGTAGACATGAACACCACTACAGTAACACTGACGACTAAACTAGCAACTACATACAGATGATCGGGTATGCCAGAAGACAGTGTAGACATGAACACCACTACAGTAACACTGACGACTAAACTAGCAACTACATACAGATGATCGGGTATGCCAGAAGACAGTGTAGACATGAACACCACTACAGTAACACTGACGACTAAACTAGCAACTACATACAGATGATGGGTATGGTATGCCAGAAGACAGTGTAGACATGAACACCACTACAGTAACACTGACGACTAAACTAGCAACTAGCAACAGATGATGAGATGATCGGCATGCCAGAAGACAGTGTAGACATGAACACCACTACAGTAACACTGACGACTAAACTAGCAACTACATACAGATGATCGGGTATGCCAGAAGACAGTGTAGACATGAACACCACTACAGTAACACTGACGACTAAACTAGCAACTACATACAGATGATCGGGTATGCCAGAAGACAGTGTAGACATGAACACCACTACAGTAACACTGACTACTAAACTAGCAACTACATACAGATGATCGGGTATGCCAGAAGACACAGTGTAGACATGAACACCACAACAGTAACACTGACGACTAAACTAGCAACTACATACAGATGATCGGGTATGCCAGAAGACAGTGTAGACATGAACACCACTACAGTAACACTGACGACTAAACTAGCAACTACACATCTCTAACCACGCGAGTCATCAGAACGCTGTGAGCCCACACTGCTGGATAAGTTCTGTTGGATAAAATTCACAAGATATAATTCCACACGAACACACGGTGATGTAATCAGATGTGAAATCCAAACTATAAACAGCACATTACTTCCTGCATTACAGACGTCGGGTTCGCCGGACTGTACGTGTCGTGTCAAACAGCATGGTATATTACATCACCGCTGTGGACGTCACAGGTGTCTGTCGGGTTGGAATCTGTACCATGCAGGCTGGTGATTTGAACACCGTATAAAACTTAACAGCTGCCATAATGCTCCAGGAAAGTCAGTATACAATTGATTACGTGATAACTTCTCACGTAAAAGGCCATTACCCACACGAGAGGAGTGACCAATTAATCCTTTGGTCAAAGGGAGACAACTCTTCACTACCTGAGGTTGACAGACGCGACCTACTTTCAACTACACTTTTTCTCCTTTGTTGACATTCTCCTATCATTTGGGTCCCACCTGAAGCGTGAATCAGACCTCACACAGCAGGATTCCGACAGGCAGCACAGCCATGGAAGGTATGTTAATATACAACTTGTCTATGATACCTGTAGTACTTGATAAGTGTATCTGGATTATCTAACACGTTAGAGTACCCGCTCACACTGCTCGTGGTCACTGGGTGGTTGTCAGGTACATCGCTCAGCTTGTTTCGCTATGAATGGACCTTTCTTTTCACGTGACTCTGACAAGCTCGAGGTGCGCTCGAATACAGTGGTTCATATACATAATAATTCTTGATACTGTAACTGGTAAAGGTTGGGAAGGAGGATGTAGATACATGGCCTGTGATCGATAGTCGGGTGTTTGTCCAAGACAATATCACCAAGACATAAGGGGCCACTGCAAAAACCGCATGTGACATGACTGTAATAAACATACCTACCATGGGGTCCAGGGAATTAAGCCATCACCATGTCACGGAACGAGGTCACATACTTCCGTGACAACAAAGACGAGGAAGAAGGGTCAAATCATGTTCCGTGTGGGAATGTGCATGCATACTGATCAGCCCGGCAATGACGTTTACCGGAGCGCGGCGATTGTGCAACGTGTTCATCTTTGTGTGGGACTTAGTGCAGCCTGTTGTGTTGTGTTTCTTTGTACTGCATGCTGCTGTGTTGGCTGATTCTTATTCGTGAACGTTACCTGGTGCTCCGAACTTGGGGGTGAGGTTGCTGGGGAGGGGGGCTCCGTGTGTTAACCTATGTAACTGTGAGGGCAGTACCGAACTTGGGGGTGAGGTTGCTGGGGAGGGGCTCCGTGTGTTAACGTATGTAACTGTGAGGGCAGTACCGAACTTGGGGGTGAGGTTGCTGGGGAGGGGCTCCGTGTGTTAACCTATGTAACTGTGAGGGCAGTACCGAACTTGGGGTGAGGTTGCTCGGGAGGGGGCTCCGTGTGTTAACCTATGTAACTGTGAGGGCAGTACCGAACTTGGGGGTGAGGTTGCTCGGGGAGGGGGGCTCCGTGTGTTAACCTATGTAACTGTGAGGGCAGTACCGAACTTGGGGGTGAGGTTGCTGGGGAGGGGGCTCCGTGTGATAACCTATGTAACTGTGAGGGCAGTACACACTCACAGTTTAATGACACGTGGAAACCCGCTGATAACAATGTAATAACACAAGTAAACCCGTTAATGTACACGTGCCGCTACATGTTGTCTAACACTTGTCAGCTACTTGGGCTGACGTGAGAGGCACGCACTGATAGATATATGAGTGAGTGAGTTTAGTTTTACGCCACACTCGGCAATATTCCAGCTTTATGGCGGCGGTCTGTAAATAATCGAGTCTGGACCAGACAATCCAGTGATCAACAGCATGAGCAGCGATCTACGCAGTTGGGAAACAATGACATGTGTCAACCAAGTCAGCGAGCCTGACCATCCGATCCCGAGATATTATAATTATACATAAGGGAGTTATAAAGTCATGACAAACACAACTATGTGTGTGTGTTTGCGTGTGCGTACGTGCGCGTGTGATCAAGCGATTTCTTCAGGTGCATAAACATTAAACAAACAGAAGGTCGACACATTGGTGATTGTCAAAATGTCATTTATAGACACAGTCAACTCATGACACTCCTGTTTAGTTCTATTTACGTCCCTGAGAATACAATAAATCTCGGAATAAAACATGTCTCGTCCGCCACTGTACCTAATCGAAATGAACTCAGACAATCTCCTAATTTGTTTCGTAGAAACAGAAGCTTAAAACGTGTCAATCTGTTACTTACTGGCGGTGTTTTGGATATTTTACCGCTACCTAAACGTAGACACGCTGGTATGCTGGTACTGTCTGTCAAGACATCGTATGAGCCATGTGTATCTGGCTTTGTGGAACACAGCTGTAGATTGTTCTGTATACATGAACGCTTGTCATGGTGGTCACAATATATGGCCAGTACGTATTGTGGCCATAAAAAATCATCCTCTGCAGGCAAACTGATGTCAGGTGCCGTCCTGTCCAGGGGTCGAGGACGCCGTCAACCTGTGTTTGCATAATGCACATTTTTCTATTACATAAACAGGACCGTGCGAGCTGAGCGGGAGGTGTTCCTCCTTGGACAGCTTCTCTGTCATGCTTCAACACTTACAATGTCCCAGACACACAACACGTTATGTTTCTGGGGATACATTTCAGCTGGGAAGTAAGACTATTTCACATAAGTTGCTATGACATGACGCGATATACACCATCTATTTATGTAATTAGAGGCTTGTGTGTTGCTCCAGGGAGAGATGTTATGAACAATGTCATATGCCAAAATATCAGCACTAGCGGCAAGTAGGTTTAAGAAGCGCCCTTATAATGTCTTGATCAACACCTGTTTTGTCCGAAACGTCACTTGAGACAGGTTCTGAAAACTAACACGTATAGTAATCTGTCGCAAAGTGTAGCAAGGTTTTCGATACCTAGGGGCCATTCATAACTTCTGGCTTTGGTGTGGGGTGTGGTTTACGTAATATTATTGAAATATTATGCTTAAAAAATATGGGAGGGGTAATTGATTTTGTAGTAAACAGGCAGGTGGGGTCACACAGATTTTAGTGTGTGGGTGGGGTGGGGCTGGGGGTCGTTCACATTGCACATGCCTCTCCATACAAATCATCATCACTCTTCACATACCCCACCCCCACCCAGCCATAAATTATGAACGGTCTCTTAGTTATACCTGCTTGCCGGTATACCCAAATTGATCTACCCGTCAATACATCAGCTGACCCACACTTCTGTACCCCAGCCGATGTACTCGGGTTGACCCGCCGGTCTGCATGTACCCCCAGTATTTTGTGGGTTCCGCTTGACCCGTTGGTCAAAGGCAGTGCAGTGCGTAGTTTATCCGAATCATGTCAGTGCCTACCTCTCACATCAAGCTGAAACAGCCTTGATATTATTGAAATACTGTTGACACCAGCGAACCTTGCCCTCCCACCCTCGCTTTGATCTCAAATAGAACTGAAACTACATCATACACGTATTTGAATTCAACGGAATATTCTCCTCCCTGTGATATCCGCAGTCGACGTAACAGACAAAGCGAAATTTCTGCAAATGATATTTGAACATTATGAACACCATAAAGAACATTATGAACACCACATCAAGAACATTATGAACACCATCAAGAACATTATGAACACCATCAAGAACATTATGAACACCACATCAAGAACATTATGAACACCATAAAGAACATTATGAACACCACATCAAGAACATTATGAACACCATCAAGAACATTATGAACACCATCGAGAACATTATGAACACCATAAATATCGCTTTTTCTCCTCCCCCTGCCCCACCCACAATGAGTTTTCTCCCTGTGGGTCTGTAGATTTGGTTTGTGTCTACAAAATCACATTCCGCGTAAGCCTGTTAGGGTACGCCTGTTATTTACCAAACAATTCATATTCAGCTGCGTCAACCACGGTTTTGTTGTTTGTTTGTTTGTTGTTAAACGCCGCGCTAAACAACATTCCAGCGATGGCCTGTATATAATAGAGTCTGGACCAGACAATCAGGTTATGCACAACACGGGGATCGATCTACGCAATTAGGATACGACTGCATGTATCGGCTCAAGACGGGATACTTTTCTTTGTGTGTGTATGTATATCATTCTGCTGTCTGTCCCTTTCATGGAAGAACATCGATGCTTGTCATTCGTGGCAAGTGTTTTTCCCTTTTGAATGTTTAACGTTATACACAAGTATGCAAATATTTAATCTATTTGATATATATTTATGCCCTTCCGATATTTATGCCCTTCCACATTTGGCTCGCTTATAGTTTTGGAAGGTTGTTAAGTACTAGTTTCTCCGCACAGTACTTGTATCTGTGCAATACTGAAAGTATTACTAACACTGGACATATACGATGTAAGATCGAATACATATCGATATTGTGAAACGCATTCTTGTTGCGATTCTCATAAAGATTGAAACTTCATAATTTTTTTTAAATTTTGTTAGCATTAAATATTTACGCCGTAATGTGAGATGCGGGACTTGTAATGAGTCATCCAGTCTATGTACACCAGTGTGCATCCTGACTGAGTGTGGTACAGAAGCAGGCACATCTACATCTTTCTGTAGCGGAAGTTCATTCAGTAGCAGAGTAGGGGATGCTCCTTATCTGTGGAGTTCAAGTCCGATGTAAACATTATTCTTATCTTACGATGCTATTTCAACTTGCTAACGCCAGTTGACTGAGTTTGTTAGAATGTTGGTCAGCCCTTTCGAGGACCCTTAGACCAATGCGAAGTCTCTGAATATATATAATTTTGATAGTAACAAACAAGCCCATTTAAATTGAAAAGAAGCCCCAGGGAGACCTGAGATTCAGAACCTGAACCTGAGGAAATCTAGACTTGCTTTATTTAGGGCTTTAGCACTGCAGATAGGGCTTGGCAGTAGGGGAAATAATGTGGTTCAGGGACTGTGAGATAGACTAGAGGACCCTATGCTTTAGTTAAATCAATATTAGTCATATGCCGAAACCACACTGTGTTTGATAAGGCACTTGTGATTTGTTTTATTTCCGTGTAAATATTTGTAGTAAGTTTTTTGACAGGATGTTATGTTATTCATTTAATTACGTACCTGCTGACCAAATACTTATCCCAAAACCCGTTAAATACGCTCCTACCTTGTCGATGTAGGCGGTGGTCAGTGTGCACGTGTCCGGCACTGTCCGGAGCCTGACCAGAGAGACGTAACATCGTCGTAACGTGTAGGTTATGTCCGTCCGCAGTAGGTCCAACATTGTGACGCTTTTCGGGAAACAGACAGCGTCCCAGCTCCTGCCGAAGATTGAACACTTTACAGCACTAACAGGTTCATCATTTATTTAACCGTTGTCGAACAATGCAAAGTCACGTGTTGTAAAGGCGACGTATTCCTGTATGAGGGGGCATCTCAGAACAATTTGAGAAGACAAGCAAAATGAAACAAATCGACATCATCTGCTGTTGTTACTGGTGCCGAACGGAAGACGGTTGTAACGTA